TAACTGGATAGTAGCTGGTGGTGCTGGTGGTGGTAGTAGTAGTGGTGGTAAATCGCACAGTGATAAACAAATGATAAGAAGTGTGGGCAGTGATAATGAGGATTCGGGAGCGAGGTGTGTGATAACGCCCGGCTCCGACAACAACTCTTGCCAACAACGGCTCACACTACCTCTTTACTCTTCAAATCGGTGTTGCGATAAGCCTGATGAGACTGAAAAGAGAAGAAACAAAGTTGACAAGAAAAAGAAACTGATAAACAAATACGCTACAATCAAAATCAAAATCAACGCCAAAAGAACACACACACGCACACACCAGTCAAAGTACCCAAAGAGCAATCATCGAATTGCATTTGTCAAACTCAGAAAACACTTCAACTGCAAACACAACCTGGAAACACACCTCATCCCTTTTCCCTCTTCTTCTTCTTCTTTTTATTTCTTTTCACCTCATCGGCTTTATTTGTTTTTAACACGTAGTACCCACACACGTGTGCGTGTGTGGGTACCTGTACAGCCTAAACTAAACTAAACACCAGAGGACAAATCAAATTACCATTGCTGTCGCTAGATTAAACCGCTTCTCTGATTGAAGCGACTGCACTGAATATGACTTCAGCTGTCGCAGTCGCTCGTTCCAGTCGATTGACAAGTGTCGACGTCTGCACGCTTCACTAGCAACTGATTACTCTGCTGCAGAAACAGCACTTCTATTTCAGTGCCTGCGACAGAGGGTGTCTTGTGATTCACTACTATCAATCAGTAAAATTGCAGTAAAAATGGCGCCCTTTTTCGCTCGCGATTGTGGTTGCTCATCATCAATCTGATTTGTCTGTTCTCTCTTTCTCTCCTATCGCCATTTTCACTTTCTCTTTTTCTTTCTTTTTCAGTTTCTCTTCAAAGTAGCTTTTCGTCAATCATCAAGAAGATGCTAAACTTGCGTTATTATTATTGGTCGCGTATAATCGTTTATTGATGCTCATGAGCTCTTGTCAGACATGTTGTGGTGATGAATGCATTGCGCTGATAAGCAGCTGCGATTATTTTTTTGCTTGCTTGAAGGGGTGAGCAAAGTGCAAAAACATTGGCTTGATTATTTGTTGGTTTGCATTCAACTTCACTTTAGAATGTGCAGCAGAAATGTCAATGACAAGTTTGCCTCTCTCAAGTGGTCGCCGATTGCCTGTTGTTGTCGTTCCAAGGGTTGTCAAATCTTCCATTCTTGACTTTAAGTGGTGACATCCATGTCCTTGTGTGCAAAGAATGTACGAGGGCAGTTCAAAACCTAATCGACGATGCGATTGCTGCTGCTGATGCTGCTGCTGTGTTCCCATTCCACAAATCGTCTAATCCCTGCAGTTGTACTTTTTCTTTTCTTTTTCCATTTCTCACACACACATCGTCCTACCTACACTACCGTCTTTCTCTTCCGCCTGTACCACCACCACTACCTTATCTGCATATTTAACCCAATTTCTCTTTCTTTCTTTCTACCTCTTAAATCACCAAAGATTGCCTATTAATGGTTGTAGCAGCAGCAGCAGACGTCACCGACTGACTAGTCTTCCGGCAATTAGCAGCAGCGGAGATTAGCACCAGCAGTGGCTGATGGGTCTGTGACCTCGTCGCTAACCAAAAACAGCTAATTAACTTCATTTTGTTCCACACATTGTCTCACTTTCACTTCCCCACTTGTGTGCACTGCACACACACACACACCTGGAGCAGTGCCAGTGTCAGTGCATAAGAGGAGGCACTCATTGGTTTCTGAAATTTCATTCACTTCCTAGCCTCCTGATCATTACCATCATTTGATCTGATCAGTTTAATCGATTTACCGTTTTCAGTTTACAAAGTTGACGCCCTTTCTTTCCCTACCCTTCTTTCTCCTGACTTCTTATCGGCCATTGGAATGTGAGCTCCACCGAAGCTGAAGTTTACCAGACTGNCCTTCTTTCTCCTGACTTCTTATCGGCCATTGGAATGTGAGCTCCACCGAAGCTGAAGTTTACCAGACTGCCGCTGTACTGCTTCGAGTCTAAAGTACAAACAACAGTAGGAGCGTCATTGTCTGGCTGACCTTTGAAGATAGTAGTTTGAGTGGTATTTTGGTGTTTGGTCACAGGTTTCTAGAATGTGGCGGAATTGCTTGTAAGCATAGGCACGCTAGCTTTGTCCTTCCAGAAAATCTGTTGTACAAGCACATGTGACTACCAAACTCTTTTACAGGTCAGCAGCAGCAGCAGCAGCAGCAACAGGTGTCCGCGCGCGCACTTGTCGGCTGAGCTTTCCTCTCCTTGGACGATGTTTGAGTAGTGGTGGGAATGATGATGATTTCTAACGTACGGTTACTCTAGAGGGCACTTTAGATGTCCCTCTCCTGACCTTGTTCTAGTTTTTTCATTGGTGTTTGTCAAGTGGGAGAAAGGGAGGGGGAAGATGAGGGGGAAGATAGGGGAGATTTTCCACACACCGCACATCACATCAGTCTGCTTTTCAGTTAGACTGCAAAAGTACAAGGAAGTGTTCCAGAGACTTTTCTAGACTTGTACTCTCATTGGTGGTGTTTGGAGTGTACAACAGCTGTGTGTTTTACGGTATGACGTAGCTGAGCTCAATCAAATATTTGCCGTCGAGTTGTACACTTTCTCAGTACTTTCTCAGTCGGTGCATGTTCTAGAGTAGAAAGCAGCGGCAGCGGCAGTTGTTGACACTTAAGTGGTGCTCTTGGACTTTTTGGCTGGTGGCAATGCTGGACCAGTGTTCAGGACAACAACTTCAGAGCAATGTACAGCAATTTCAATTGTCCACTTTTGTTAGCCAAACTCAGGTAGGTAGGTAAACCAAAGGTTTAATATCAACAACTTTGACTATACACTTGATTGATTAAAATTGGAAAAATTGAAGAAATGTTACCCTTTGCAAGACAATCCAAATTGCAGCAGTTGGCACACATTACACAGAATCAGGGAATCACTGGAGAGAGCAGATTGAATCAAATCGCACAACACCCGACTGGTCGATCGATCAGTCCCAGCCCTTCAGCGCATTGGTCTCCTCCGGGTCGATGAAGGGCTTGTCGATGCTGGCGATCATGTGGTGGCCGCAGTAGAGGCACTCGCTGGCCACCAGGTCGTCGATGGCCGCGTAGACCTCCTCGCGGCGGTTCGCCTCGGCGATGCTGGCCGCCTCGGCGGTGGCCGTGCTCCCTCCTCCGTTGCTCCCTCCTAAATTGCTCGCCGAGCCACCAGCAGCAGGCTGCGATGAAGACCGCATCAGCGACCGCTCCAGCTCCTCCAGGCGGCGCTTTTCCGCCGGCGCCAGATGGGGCCGCACCTCATCGAGCAGGCAGTCCGAGTGAAAGAGGTGGCCGCAGTTGAAGGCGTAGAAGGCCTTGCTGAGGACGGCGTACTCGCAGAGGGCGCACCGGTCGGCGGTGGCGCTGATCAGCGTGTAGCGGGAGCGCAGGCGGCGAATCTCCTCGCGAATCTCCGCCGCACTCTCCGTCGCCACCTTCATGTCCTCGCGCAGCGTCTCNCAGTTGAAGGCGTAGAAGGCCTTGCTGAGGACGGCGTACTCGCAGAGGGCGCACCGGTCGGCGGTGGCGCTGATCAGCGTGTAGCGGGAGCGCAGGCGGCGAATCTCCTCGCGAATCTCCGCCGCACTCTCCGTCGCCACCTTCATGTCCTCGCGCAGCGTCTCAATCGTCCGGTTGTACTCCTCCAGCGAGCTGCAGATCGCCTCCTTGAAGTGGTCGATGGTGCTGAAGGCGGGAAAGTAGGGCAGGATGTCCTCGATCTTCAGCAGGGGGCACTCGTTCAGCAGGTCGGTGGCCATCTTCAGGTTGAAGTTGTCGGAGGAGGAGGAGGAGGAGGAGGAGTTTGCTCCATCCTCAGTCGAGGAGGAGGACTTCTTGATGACGTGCTTGGCAATCTTCAGCCACAGCCGCTTGGCCATCTCCGGCCGCTGCACGGCGGACACCCTCTCGGCGGTCGTCTTCGCCAGCTCCACGTCGCCGTCCGCCAGCGCCTGCTCCACCGCCTCCTCGATGGAGCCCATCGTGGCGAGCAGGTGCACGGTGGCCTGGCCCAGGCCGAGCTGCGTGCAGAGGCGGGCGGCGTAGCGGACGTCGTAGGGCAGGGCCGGCTGCAGGAGGGAGGAGGCGTCCAGTTCGCCACCGCCCCCACCGCTTTCATTGCCGCCCACACCTCCGCCCCCTTTAATCTGCAGGTAGGTAAGGAGCTTGTCCGGCTGGTACTGGGCGTAGAGGGCAATGAGGTAGTTGTGCACCAGCGAGCTGTCCGTCTCCAGGCTGAAGACGCAGTACTCGAGGAAGCGCAGTATCTCCAGGCACTGCAGCTCCCGCTTGGTGAAGCTGCTTTGTTTGCTGCCTCCCTTCACTTCAGGCTCCTTCACCGAATCGTTTTCGCCGCTGTCAAAGTGCACCAGCGCCGGAATGAGCTTCGCAAAGTCGATGCCCTTCGCGAGGGGCATCAGCTGGGCCACTAGCTCCCGCGGCCGCTCCTGCACAATGACCGGCGAGTAGCGGTAGTAGAGGGCGAGGCACTCCTCCTTCCGCAGAATGCTCAGCGCCTGGTCGAGCTCCCCTTGGGCGAGGTAGTGCTCCAGCAGCCGCTCAAAGTCGTCCATCGTCTCGGCGAAGTAGATCAGCACTGACTGGGCGTTGTGCGCCAGCAGCAGGTTGTAGGCGATGTGGCGGTTCTTCTTTAGGACGGCCTGAAAGAAAGAAAAGAGAATTAGCCTTAAAACACACCTTCAAATCACCCCCTACCTTGTAGTTGGAATTGGAAATCAGCCCCTTCAGGTTGGCCTCCACCCGATTGTACTCCACCTTGAGGTTGAGCACCTCCTGGTTGCTCAGCTCCGCGTCCTCCATCCGATTCGCCAGCCGTCCCAGCTGATTGAGGCTGATCTCCAGCAGCCACAGCAGGAGGATGATCACCTGCGTCCGCTCCTTCACCGGACTCAGAGTGCGCAGCTTGCACAGCAGGTACTCCTTCAGCGCCTCCTGGTCCGGGTCGCCGCCACCGTTGCCGCCGCCGCCCAGCTCAATGAACTTGAGGGCAATCTCCTCAAAGGAGCGGGAGCGCGCGCCGGCAAAGAGGGCGGCGCTGGCGCGGTAGTCGCCCACCGAGAAGAGGTGCAGCGCCTCCTCGCAGACCGTCCGGTCCTGCTTGAGGAGGTCGTCGCCGGCGTGGAGGCGCGCCGCCGCAAAGTCGCGCTTCTTCAGGTAGATCTCCCAGATATTGCGCTCCTCCTGGACGATCTTGTAGCGGTAGACGGCGTGCTCCGCGTACGCCCACACCGTCCCGCGGATCGGGTCGCGGCAGAGGCCGAGGACGCGGCCGTACGTGCCGCTGAAGCGGTCCTCGAGGATGACCGCCTGATTGAGCCGACAAACGACCTTCAGCCGACTGGGGTAGAGGAGCAGGAGGTGGAACTTGGTGAGCACCAGCGAGATGGGCGCCTCGTTGGAGGCGGAAGAAGTGGAAGCGGAAGAGGAGGAGGAGCTCGTGGTCGTGGTCGTCATCAGGTCGCTCAGCATCAACATCGAGGCGTCGTCAAAGAGGCGCGCCGCATTGCGCCCGTTCAGGTCGGCGGGAATGTCGTGGAAGAAGATGCCCGGCTCTACAAAAAAAGGTAAAAACAGTTTTGTTTACAACATTTCGAAACAAACCCCTCCCCTTTTCCCACTTACTCGTCAGCCAGCCAAAGGCCTTTGGACTGGTGAGCACTGCGGCTCCCGCTCCTGCTCCTGCGCCTGCCGGCGGGGGCGGCGGGTGGTAGAGGTCAAGGCGACTGGCCGGCCCCGCCCCGGGCATCTCCTTGTGCAGGCGGCTGCTGGGGCTCTGTAGCACATGGAAGAGGTAGGCGGTCTCCGAGGAGGAGGAGGAGGAGGTCAGCGAGGAGGAGGAGGAGGTGGCCTGCATCTGCTGGGCGGACACCTCGCCGATGTACTGGTAGAGAAAGTTGGAGGTCGCGGCCAGGACGCAAAAGGTCGTGGTGGTCGTGGTGGTGGTGCGACCTTTCGTCGTCGGCAGCTTGAAGACGTTCAGGCCGCAGATTGGCTCGGAAATGGAGGAGGCCCCCGCTGGAGGAGGAACGGGACTGGTTCCCGATGTCATCTGCTGGGAGCTGCTGCCCGAAAAGAGCTGCCCTGAAGAGCCTGAGCCTGAGCCTGAGCCGGAGATCGAGTCGGGCAGATCGGCGACCTGCTTCAGAAAGAGCTCTCGGGAGCCGAGGAAGCGGTCGTCGGGCTGGAGGGCCGTCTCGAAGATCCGCCCGTCGCTGGTGCCGATGAGAATGCTGCCCGTGCCGGTGGTGGTACTTTGCTGATCAGAGGACGACGAACCGGCGTTCCAGCCGACCGCCGTGATGACGAAGCCGTTCAGCTTGGTCAGCTTGTGGAGCTTCTTGTTGTAGTAGAAGTTCTCGTAGGGCACCCGAGAGCCGAGCGGTGGCGGTTCAGCCGAAGTTGAAAGTGAGCTCGAGTTTCGGGTGTTTTGCTGCTGCTGCGTCTGCTGCTGCTTCAGGTACAGGCTGATGATGCAATGCCGCCCGGTAGGGTCGAGGAAGATGCCGCTGATGGCCACCGGCTTGGACTTGTCGCTGAGGTAGGCGTTCAGGTCGATTTCTGGCAGTAAAATGTGTTGGAAAGAGGAGGAGGAGGGAACAACTGGTTACCAACTGTGTCCACCAAACAAAGCAGGCAACAAATGAGACACAAACCTGTCTTTTTGCTGGGGTCCATCAGGTCGATCTTCAGCAGCGTCCGGTTCTCCATGGCCATCAGCAGCTGATTGCTGGAGACCAACATGTGCGTGATTGGGTTCGGTGGTCTAGTGAAGAGAAGCAGAAATGTATTTGGGGTGATCATGAAACACAAAACACTTTGGGTGCACCAAGTGCATAGAAGCACTCACTTGAAGTCGATCTTATTCTTGGCGAATATCGGCTCCTCGACGTTCGTCCGCAAGTTGATGATGCCCTGATGAGCAATGACATTCTGTGAGTTATCAAACCTTCAGGCAATAAACTCCCGCAAACCGCTTACCTCATTCTTGTTTGCTTGTGAACTTGCACCACCACCACCACCACCACTGCCCGCAGCGGCCGAACTGCCGGTGCCTGAGGAGGAGGCAAACTGCTCGTACTGATCAAACAGGGAGGCCATTCTCTAGAGAGCACTGTACTCCCTCTAACACTTTGATGATCAACAATTAAAAAGAGAATGCTTCAAGAGAAGAAAAAGGTATAGATCATCAGAGTCACACTTGTCACTTGTCGCGCTGATCGTGACACCTCCCTCGCACTATCGTTCGGTGGTGTAAACAAACGCACACAATCGATACGATCGATAGTACGATCGGACGCACGATCGGCTGATTTGAAAACCAATCCGGGTAAATTGTTAGAAAACAAACACATCTAGAAGATCTTGGAACCTTACACTACTTTATTTCGATCTAGTTGAAATGCAGTTTTATTTAACCAATAACAGGATGTGGACTAGCTCAAGCCCTCTGTGGCTGCTGCTGCTACGGTAAACAAGTTAAGTTAAAAGAGGGGAGCACAGAATAATAAAAGCTCTTAAAGGATGGAAAAGGTGGGAAAAGAGGTGTGAGAGAAGAGGAAGAAGATAAAAGAGAACAAGAAATTGGGTGTCGTAAGAGTTTGGTACACAAGGAGATGACCGCTCACCACCACCAGCACCACAAAAAGAAACCGCTGCAGCTGCTACTTCAAATGTCCTCCTCGGAAGAGGAGGAGGAGTCACCCTCGCCTTCTCTGTCGATGTGCTCCTCATCATTCGAAGTGTCACCAGAATTGTCCTCCTCCTCCATATCCTCATTTTCGCCATCTTCCTCATCTCCGTCCCCATTCTCTCCATCCTCCTCTTCATCGCCCTCATGCGGCGCCAGCTGTTCGGAGACCATGTGAAGGGCGTCGTGCTGCAGCTTGAAGATGGTCCACTTCTCGGCACGGCCGGTGAGCGGCCGCGGCCAGGGCAGGACGAAGCTCGAGGTGGCCCGACACACCGGACACGTCTGCAGGCGGTTCAGATTGGCCAGGCTGGGCGGCGGCGGCGAGCGGAACCAGTTGATGAGGCAGCTGGCGCAGAAGACGTGCACGCACTGGGAGAGCATGCCCAGCGGCTGGCCCTCGGCCATGGACAGCAGGCAGATGGCGCACTCCCGATCGCGGATGGCCACTGAAGCTCGGCTCTGCTGGGAGGAGGAGGAAACGGAGGAGACGGGAAGCTGGGGCGGTGCCTGCTGTTGCTGGCTGCTGTTGTTGTTGCCATTGGAGGAGGTAGTGGCAGAGATAGTGACCTCCCCTCCGGTGGTCTCCCCCTCCTCCGTCGCCTGGATGCGCGCCAAGTTGGCGGCGGTGTTCTGCTCGTAGAAGTGCTCCAGGTCGACCAGCTGCTCCACGCTGAAGTGGACGCCCTCGGAGCACTGCGCAATGGTCAGGCTGTCCGTGGCGTGGGTGAGCTTGTTGAGGCTGCTGCTGCTGCCGCTGCTCTGACTGTTCGAAATGGTGGCGCCCGAGAGCAGGTCGACCACCCGCTTCTTGACGGTCTTCTCGCATTCGCCGAGCAGGGAGCGGATGCAGGCAGCCGGCGGCACCTTCTTCAGCTGCTGCTGCCCGGTGCTGTTCGGCGAGTGGCCAAAAGGGCAGTTGATCATCTCGCGGTAGGACGCCTCAAAGAGGTGGCAGTCTCGAGGACAGCTGAAGGTGGCCAGAACTTGGCTCATTGGATCGTAGGCTGCTGCTGCCGTTGCTGCTGAAGGCATGTTGTTGTTGTTGTTGTTGTTGTCGCTGTTGGGCCCGGTACTTGAAGTGAAGGAGGTCACAAGAAAGTTGCCAGAGGGAGTTTTCTGACGTTGCATTGTTTGAAAGACAGGTCGCCTGCAACGTAGACAGAGACAGTGAAGGCTCAAGGTTTTGCCAAACGGTTTTGTCAGCTATTTATCGGCGTGTTGATGGTGATGATGGCGGCGGCGATGGTGGT